TTGTATTTATAAATACAAAGCAATGCTTAAGCAACGGCTGGGAGGTCACCACATATTGCACACAGGGACGCAGAATGTTATTAAAGGCAGTCTATGGCATCATTCTTGGTTCAGTATTTTTTTTTAAGGAGTCCAACAGTTTGTTACTCTTTATGAATTGTATTTCCTGGACTACATGCCACACACGTTTTTAAACATGGTGGCTGTTCATAGGTAGTGGGACAGTCAAGTGTATATGAGCACAGTCCTTGACTTCCTCTGGCTCTTAAATCCACCAGTGAGCATACACTATGACGTAGAACCCTGGGTCTTCCCTAATTTCCTTTGTGTCCCACACCTGGCTTCACAGTCTACATCACGGATGCTCAACAGATACTCGTTGAGTCCATAAATAGTGGAACGGCTTTCTTGACAGATGGGTCATAATGTGTGTCTTATTTAGGGTTCTTATCGCTGTGATGAAATACCATGACCAAAAGCAATTCGGGGAGGAAAAGCAATTTATTTGGCTTTCACCTATGTATCACAGTTTTACATCAAAGGCAGCATGAGCTCAAACAGAGCCGGAACCTGGAGGAGGGGCTGATGCGGAGGCTGTGGGGAGTATTGCTTACTTACTGGCTTGCTCCTCCTGCCTTGCTCAGCCTACTTTCTTATAGCATACAGGACCACCAGCTCAGGGGTGCCCTCACCCACAATGGGATGGGTTCCCATTTCAGTCAGTAGTTAAGAAAATGCAAGCTTGCTTACAGCCTGATCGTATGGTGGCCATTTTCTCAAAAGAGGCTTCCTCCCCTTGGATTGCTTTCATTTGCTGTCACATTGACATGAAACTGTCAGTTTAGAGTATGAATTTAGGGGGTTGGTGAGATGGCTCAGTGGTTAAGAGCATCCGAGGTCTTAAGTTCAAATCTCAGCAACCACATAGTGGCTCACAACCATCCATAATGAGATCTGATGCCCTCTTCTGGGGTGTCTGAAAACAGCTACAGTGTAGTTCCATATAATAAATAAATAAAAAAGGCTGGAGCGAGCAGGACCAGAGCAAGAGAGGGAAGGGGGAAAAAAAGAATATGAATTTAGGTGAGGTGGCTTAAGTTAACAAGCACATTTTCATTTACTTATCTTCAGTGCTTTTTTTTTTCTCCCCAAACTGAGGATTGTCCAAAATGGTAGTTTTTCTTACACATAATTTTTCTCCAGAGAAACACTACAAGCCAGGTAGTATATATCTATTGATATGACGTGTTTCTCTGAGGTTTTTATCCAAAGACAGCTGATGAGAAAAAAATAAGTAAGACTCCTTTTTAGGCTTTGGCAGCTGGTTAATGGGAAATTGAAGTTAAACAACTCGGACTCACTTACTTCAGAGGGACATGCTCAGTTACTGAGTAAAGAAGCAGGCCGGCTGCATTTATCACAGCCGCATGACGAGCAAGCTACCTGCAAGGCTATCTAGCTGAAAGCTTCGACGAGTAGAGCCCACAGGTGGGACACTGGTCCAGTGCTCCCCAGGGAGAAGACATTCTGCCATGTATGGAATTTCCGCACATGATGTCATAGACTATCCATAGGCAGAACATAAATGTGATAGGTCTTCCACTTACCGTCCTTGCACAGATAGTTGTTACGGATGGCACTCATGACATATATATTCATTCATATAATATATATATACACATATATATGTGTGTGTGTGTGTGTGTGTATGTTTGTGTATATGTATATGGGTATATGTGTATATATATGGGTATATATGTGTGTAGTGTATATGGGTATACATATGTATATCCATATATATATATATGTATATGTATACACACATATAACACACACACAAACATATAATCCCAATGCTGGGATTAAAGGCATGTGCCACCATGACCAGTCCTTATCATTTTAACACTGTTCTTTGTTGTGCTTTGAAGCTATTCTTTCCAAAACATCAGACTGTAGCATAAGCAACCATTCCAAAGAGTGAAGGCTGTCCTGGTCATGTTGTCAACCTCGTCTCTTAGGATGTCTTTACATTGGACTGAGGCTTAGTATTTCACCCTACAGAATATACATGTGACCTCTATCTTGAGATAGGGATTTTTGAGTCATAATGCACCTCGGAAGAGACATAAATATGAAATATCACCATGGTCCTCTTTTAACAGCATGTTTTACATGCTGTTAAGTTTGCATAGGTGGACAATCATAGTTTAAAGTAAAATTACAGATGAATATTCTTCCTCATGGCTGTTGTGTGTCTCATTTGTTTGCTAACACACAGAAATTTTTCCGGAATTAAGGCAAGGCAAAACACAGGATAAAATCCAGGTGCTGCACATTTTAACATCGTGATCTCAATGTTATCTTTTGTTGCTGTGTACTATAAATTCTGTACAGAACCAGGAGACTGTTTACATGGAAAACCACAGCTGCACAATCTTGAAAATGTCCTGAATGTGGGAGACAGCAATGTGCCATTCTTTGCAGTTTTTAGTGCAATCTTTTTAGAGTGAGTGTAGCTTTCTGTCATTCATGTGATTATGGCATAGCATTATAGTTTGCATTATCTCTTTACTTTTTTGGCATCTTTATGGAATAGGGAAGTATCTGTTGTCAGAAGAGTCTATGATGAGTAATGATGAGTTTATAAAAGACTCACAAATAGAGCCAACAATTTGTATTACTACAAATATCAACGAGTCCCTTAGATACAAAAGGCAAAAGGTACCCTTTTTAAAAAAATTGCGTTATGTTTGAGTGCTCTACCTGCATGTGTACCTGTGTGCTAGAAGAGGGCATGGGATCCCATTACAGATGGTTGTGAGCAATTGTGTGGTTGCTGGGAATTGAACTCAGGACCTCTCAAAGAGAGGTGCTCTTAACTGCTGAGTCATCTCTCCAGTCCCAAAAGGTACCTTTAGAAAATAATTTTTGGCGATCTATTATGAAGGAGAGGGTTTTTTTTCTACTTTCATTAGTCAGCAACGTGGCTTAAAACCTAGTAGCAATTCTATTTCATCTGATTATTTTTAATAGCTAAAGTTATTAAACAAATAAAATGCCCACAGTTCACTTGAAATGGATAAAAACTTACACAAAACACAGAGAAGTGTTTGCAGAGAATGTATGGGCTGGGCTCTGTGCTAGCCTCTCACATTTTCATCTCTTTAAATCCACGTAGACACTACAGCCACAACTGATATCATTCTATCTGGGTGTTACAACTTCAACTGGCCTCCTCATGAGTATGATAGAACAGAGGGTACAGATTTTTGTTGGTGACACCACTAGAAAAGGACCCAGCTGTGTGTGGTATTCAGGTAATTCTCGGACCAAATACTCCCCTAGCCTCTCATCAGCTCTCCAGTCTCCTCTGTGTTTATTAAGAAGGATATAGTGTCTATATGTATTGGTAAGACATGTTCTCCAAGGTGGATTGTCCACCAGCCTTGACAATCAGTCCTCTCTGATCATAGGTTCTTTATCCATGGATTCAGCCAACCACAGTCAAAAATACTTAGGGAAGAGTCATATCTCCATTGAACATGTACAGACTCTTTTCTCTTGTCGTTATTCCCTCCGTGAACTAAATGTCTGTCACCTGACCACTCTGACCATTACACGCTGAACCAGTGAGTGGGGTTTGCAATGAAATATTCTGAGATCTGCCATTGAGCTTTCTTTTGGTACAACACCACAGTGTCCTGTTGCACTGCTGCAGACTGTCTCCTATATGTCTGTGTGGAGTGGTATCAGAATACTTCAAAGAGTCTCTGTCTGTGACCTGGAGAAGCTCTCAGGCGTGGGGCCTTGACTATTTGCTATGGTCTTGGATTGCAGGAAGTAGAACAGAAGTCCACAAATCTTTTCTATAAAGGGCCACAAAGGGGAAATCCGCACACTTTGTAGGTCGTATGTTCTGCCTCTGACTGCTGCTGCTGTGGCTGTAGGGCAGGAGGAGCTGCAGATATTCATAAACCAATGAGCTTGGTTGCGGCTGTGTGCCAGGAAAATTTTATTTACAAAACAGGTGTTGAACACTCTTGGCCCATGGGTTTGTTGCCTGTTGATCCTTAAATTATAAATAACTTCTAGTTTCTCTTTATGTGAGTTAAGATTTACTATAGTAAATCATCTTTCTTGAAAAATTACTCCTATTCTATGACCCCTTACTTCTAATTATTCCTTATAAGCATCCTCTTTTGCTAATACCACACTCTCCCTCTTCCCTGATGCTGGCCACATTTCCATTCTACAGCTTGCTTGCGTTCTTACTGTTCTTCCCTCTCAACTTATATTTCCCGCAGACCGCAGCTCCGTTACTCTTGCATTTCCTTGCTTATATTTCCATTTTTACATATGTTTTAAGCTTTCCCTGAAAAATCTTTGCTTGCGTGATTCTTTTGGTACCTAGGGAATCGTGGCCAACCTCGTTTCAGATCTTCAGGATGCGATTGGTTAACCTCTTAGAAAATACACTCTTCCATTTATAAATGAAGCTCAACCACATTTAACAAGCCACTCTCCTCAAAGGGCAAATAGGGTCTGGAGACAGAATTTGTCTTGGCAAGTCATTTACAAAAATCAGTGTTGGTCTCTGAACCTAGTCCATCCCAGGAGAGCTCTTAGCCTTAGCCAAAAGAACTGGAAACACACCTTACCTGCCCTAGGTTGCAATACATATCTTTGATTCGAGACTATTCTCTCCTAGCCTTCAGTCTACCTCACATCTTGGTGTGTTCCCACGAAGCACCTCTCAGTCTCTCCCCTTTGTCCTCTCCAAACTCAAAGACTTCACCTGTAGTCAACAAAGTCGATGTTGGCAAAGTTTGTTACTCACACACATAGAGGCTGATAGATGTTTTGGATTTACAGCAAGAATGGCCAGTTGTACACTCACCCCCTTTCCTCTCCAGCGATTCAACTCCAGCCCTGGATGCAGGTGATTTGTGTAATCCATCTTCCTTTACATCTCACTTGACATTCTGCCTTTTTCGTGACAGGTTGCTGAATGCTATAAAGCCAGGACTTGTTAAAAAGATCAATAGATTGCCTACCCCCATTGCAGGATTGGTGAGTATCCATAATTGAGATTTATTTTTCAATGTTCCTTTGCTCTAACCTAAGGGTCACGGCAGGGCCATTTATCACAGTTCTCTCTGACAATATGTATTCTCCTGGAATGAGAATGCACCGACTCCACTGAGCTAAGAGGTTCCTCGAACATGAAAAATTCCAGCCATGTCCAAATGGCACCTTAATCATTGTTTGTATTGTTCCCAAGAGTGATAAAGTCCTCCCGTCTTAAAGAGGTAAATTTGCTTTGGGGTAAGAGGCTGATAATTCAGTTGACCTCAGGAAGGAATGTGATTTTAATTACTTTTTCCCTTCTCAGTGCTCCACTGCCTCTCCCTTCAGTGGAGGAGCGGGGAGACAGAGAGCTTTCAAGAGGAAACGTCACCTTCATAATAAGTTGCTTCTTTCAGTGTTAGAACTCTGTGTTGGTCTAAATATTCCAACACTGTCTAGTTGTAAATGAGCTCTTCTCAGGACTTATGGCACACCAAAGTTATCCAATGTTATCTGGGGAACTCTGAAAATATGACCCCAACCCTTCCAAGTCCACTTGTGGTATCTGTAGAACTCAAGTGTTCACATCAGATCAGGCAGAATGTTTTTTTTATGTATTGATATATTTTATAATTCTTGGCAATTAATAGTAGCCACTTAATTACCACTACCCTTTTGCAAAGATGGGAAAATATAGAACAGAAAAATTACCAAATCTTTATTCTCAAAGAAGCTACACACACACACACACACACACACACACACACACACACACACACACA